CAACATTTTTAAAGGCGGTGTTTTCCAAAGCATGCACTGAACTCTTGATTTTAAACCAGTAAAACTTCTAATGGTCCACAATTGCAGACTTAAGCAAAACTTCCCAGCAAAGTAAAGCCAGAGATTTTTAATGTGTGTATGTTAGCCAGTCTTTAACTGCAGCAGCACCTTATAGTGTTATAGTGTGTTCTGTGTCTCACCCATTGTTCAACTTTGTGAATAAAGCTTTGACACACTTTCTAGTTGTTGGAGCACTACGTGTTATTTAGAGACTCTTTTATTCATAAACTGTCCACAGTTATCTAGCAGCCTATTTTCGAGCACTAGCCACATGCAGACAAACCAAAAATTTAAACACTTCTCCAAAAAGGATCTCAAGCTTAGCAACAAATGGGATTCTAAACCACTGTCTGGCAACAGGAGGGCAACGTAAAAACCTGCCCTGTTGCAAAATAAACACCAAAGGGTAGGATCCATCTTACCTAATTTTAGCCATCCACACAAAACAGTGGGCACCTTATCTCAACAAGTCACTGGAGCTTCCTCTACAGCCAATGTCATGAGACTCCCACCAATTTTAGCATGGAAAAGAAGCACTAAATAAGGCATTGATGCCACTGACTGAGGAGTCCAGATCATTAGTTTACAATAGATGCCAAGGTCAGGGAGAAACCTACCATGATGTGTCCAACAGTATGCACAGGGTAGGTGCCTTCAAGGGAAGCTGCAGGCCTCCCTCCCACAGCCAAAAAGGTTCAACAGGTTGCAAGACAGCCCTAGCCCTGTAGAAAAGCAGGAGGAGGGGGCTGGTCCCTGGCTCCATCAAATGGTGGATTGGGGAATAAAGGAACCTGAAAATCAGCAAAAAAGATAATGGCTCATAATACAATCTGCAACTAGTAATATCCAACTTATTTTACTAAAATATTTATGAGAAACCTTAACCGAAATTTTACACACTCTGAAATAAAGGGGTCAGGCTTATCCCTTGGCTTCTATCCACTCCCCTTCTTCAGCATAATTTGACTCTAATAACCCTTATTTTATTTCCAAACCAAAAAGTATTATGAATTTGCTTCCCTGTGATAACAAGTGGCCTTCAAATGTTGTCTTTTCCATAAACCCAAATAAAGAACTAAAACTACAGCATTAATTGCGAACACCTAGACAAAGTAAATTTAGGGAAAACAAAGACTTTCCTAGAGGCCTGCTGTTTGCCACAGGTTCTTTCTGATGCTTCTGATATTTTTGCTCTATGGTATTTTTGAAGACCAGTTGAGTTTCACAGATCAGGTGACGACATATTTGTCACTCTTGCATAATGAAACAGTACAGTATCAAGGTCAGTGGATCACTGGTGCTTTCATTCTGATAAAATAGTCCTGGGAAGGTGCACCTGAAAATAAAGTCCTCTGGGAGACATTCAAATACTCTGGGAGACATTCGCACCACCCACTTCAGCGTGGCTTTTAAGTGCTGACCATGGCAGCAGACCCACAATTTGGATAGACCTGAGTGTTTTGCTTCCTGATCTCACGTGGAAATCAGGTGCAACTGCATTACCAGTCTCTCTCAGAATAATGAATCTGCCAGTCAGCTCCCAGCACACCTGACAGAGGGAGAAGACTTCTCAAAGATAATTAAGCTCCCTCGAGCACCATGACCACCTTGGGCGACAGCAGAAAAGACCTAAATTGAAAGCTTCACAAGGGCAAAGCTGGCAGAGTGGCAAACTCTACTTGGCAGCATCTAACAAGCCCATCACCATGACTTACTAACCTGGCCATGAGGATCCCTGTCATCCTCAGCTCATGCACTCCATGCTGCCCCTCAGGTGGACTTAGTTTCAGGGGAAAGAGCTGGGAAGGACTGGAAAATTTTCACGAAATATCTCAAATCCACTGGACATTAGGCTTCACCATCTCTTCTGCTTAGAAAACTACTTTCTTCTTTTCCTGTTTTTTACTGACTTCCAAAAATTTGGTGAAAGATCTTCATGAACAAACACCCATTAAATGGAAGTGGATGCCCTTTAGAGTTTCTTAAAATCGAACACTTTCATCAGTTGATACTCCAGGAGATCACAGATTATCATTTTTATCCCTTTAGGATTGAACTCTAGGAGGTTTAACTAGTACAGCAGGATAAGAAAACAAATCTAAACCATGCTGTGAAGAAGATTTAAAGCCTTCCAAAAATCTGCACTTGTTAAGTCAAATGTAGTGCTGAAAGAGACAACAGAATCCCATGCAACCATTTCATGCATGTGCAGTCTGTACCTTAATCTTCATTTTAGACAGTCCCAGATTAGACTGCTACTGTTTGTAGCATTTGAGTCAATTATTTAAAGTATGTTTATGCTTATTTGTTACATTTCTAACTCTAAACATTCACCATTCTGCAAAAAGTCTAACGGGAGATGACCTAGGCCTTAACTTAGGCATTTTACAGTGGTCTTCCTCTAAAAATTCTTTGCCAGTCACAATATTTAAATCCTATGAAGCTTCCTTTGTGTTTTCCATACCTTTGAATTGGAAGTACACATTGTATTTCATTAATACACTGAGTTCACAGCTGAGGTACCATAACTTTAGTATGGAAAAAGTTGCTACCACAGCATTACATTTCTCATTTTCTATGCCCTTGGATAGCATCACCTAACTGGCTGCATTTCTGTAATTACAGAAATGGATGTGATTTTTTTCCTAAAACCCATGTAAATTCTACCAATAAAAAGCACACAGATGTTTGTAGTTGCAACTGAGGTAAGCAAGCTGTACACAGAAGCTCTAGCAAACATCAGAGCTGTGAGGGAATGCAACACTACTCATGACAGAACAGCAGTTCATTTTAGCCTCTTCAGCACTCAGCCAGGTACCACAGACAACAGTAATTCATTTCCTACTTTCAGGACTTTTTCAAAAACAATGGCTCAGTTTCTGGTATGCCTGGCAACAACACACTGGGTCAACTTGCAGTTCAAGTGAATCTGAATGCATATTTAAACACAGAATCCATTACACACTACAGAATTTAACTTTCCTTTTATTAGAATAGAAAAAAAAGACAGGTGAGAAATAACAACAATAAAACTGGAACTGGGCATGTATTCTGACACAGAAAAGTCAACAAAGTTTTCCTCGCAGCCCAATCATTCTTAAGGATGGGCCAAAAGGATTAATTGCTGCTGCAACAAACTCCGTGTCATCAGTGAACAAGAAGACCACTTTACTCCCTACATACGGCAAATAGATAACACAACCTGTATCATTTTGGAAACGCCTTCTCAACAAAATCCTACTCAAAGAAATTAAGTCTCCCCCATCTCTGCAAGATCACCTAAGATCATACTTAGGCAGCTAAAACCCAACGCATTTTCCCGAGTATAATTTTAGTTGGGTTACCTAATTTCCGAAAAGGATTTTGTCAGAGGAATTTAAGCAGGGTTTTTTTCAATCCAGCCCACTTCCCAACAACTCTTGCAGCATAAAAATATAGGAAAGGCATAAGGAGTTGGTGTCGTAGAGCTCTTCTATGCCTCATACTCAAGTATTTTAAGATCTTCAAGTAGTTCTCTTGCGAGGGTTTGCAGATCCGCATTGCGGCTCTTGGACAGCGCGATGATGCGCTGCAACGGCAAAGTGTCGCGCATCTCGGGGCCCGCCCTGGCCAGCACCTCTGGCTCCAGAACCACAGACTGGATGAGCCGCAGAGCATGGAGGCACACTTCTGTGTCTGGGTCTAAAACAGGGGAAGGGAAAAATCCAGTGCTCATTAGAAGCGAGCCCGAAAAAGCAGCATTAAAGTTCTACAGTGCCATTCCTCACAACCCACCAGGCAGACAGGGAATAACTGAAATTTCCGAGTTCAGAGCTGCCATTTTGGTTCTGGCTGGCTGGCTCTAGAAGGAACCTGAAAACAACATCTTTGCCCTCCTCCGAAGCTTGTGCTCAGCAGTGTTTGGGAGGGAGAGATAACAAGAAACCTTTCTCTTGTTTTTCAAATATTGAAAACGCTATAAACCAGGGAATTCATCAACTTGAATTCATACAGTCTGTAGCCAAGATGTGCTGTTGGATGCAATCCGATTTAAGAGCAGAACAAGCTCTTGGCTTGTCATGGCTATTCAGACTTAAAAAACAGACAAACTAATCAAATCTGCAGTATATCACCAGGCTTTTCTTTAATTTCTTTTCATACAAGCTTTCAGATTTCTTCAAAGCTCAATAAAAAATTAATCTTTATAAAACTTTCTGGTAACAATGCAACAACCTTCCAAGTGTTTAATTCAGTCTACAGCAAATTGAAACGGGTACTGAAGCTAAGCACTGCTGCTTAGGAATGCGTCAGAGAAATGTAGCAAACACCTTTGATTGACTTAAGCTAGGAAGATGGATAATTACTGTTAAGAACACGGGATACACATTCTAATTACTAAAATATCAGGAGCGTTATAGTTTAATTGTTCACAACAGTCCATTTGCATTTAGTTGTATATAGCTTTATCAAAAACATCTGGTAGAAAGCCCCGGTTTTGCACTTCCCCATTCTGAATGTTCCAGATGAAAACGTGTAATATATTTTTATGGCTGAAGTAGTTAGTTATTCCATGTGCCATGCATTTTTGATGTGTATGTCATTAGCATACCTAGTCTTCAGCAAGCTTTTAATAACGCGTTGTGCAGAAATGTTGAGAAAAATTAATTCAGATTGCTTTTTGTACAAAAGCACCACAGAGACCAAAAATCTCACTGAAGGAGCATAAATGCAGTGCAGCGACAAACCACACTGTACTGAGCTTGAAGGACACATCTGGTGGGCTGTGGCAAACTCTTTCCTTTCCTGGCTTAGGTATTTTAATACCTAACACTGGTGTTCTGAAGAAGAACTAAGGAGAATTTTTCATTAACGCATAAGGGGAGATGCTGAAAGCACCCAGGGGAGAATATGGAACTTGGTGGACAGTGAAGAAGACTATGGCTTTAAGCATGAAACTGACTGCTGAGATGGGAATTTTTAAGTCATTTCTACTAGCACACGGCTGAAACACAGTATTAAAGATTGTCGTAGATTATCTACACCCATAAGCCAGGCACTCTCTCTTCCTCCATTTTCCATCATAAATGAGACACATGGGTCTTTTCTACCATTATCTTCTTCCCTGTTTTAAATGTAAACCTCTTCAGACAGGAAATCTGCTTTCTCCTGGGAAGCTAGCAGAATGGGGCATAATCTGAGGACATAAGAATTCTTCAAAACCAACCAGTAACATGATTTTCAGTGCAACAAGAATCTTACCTATTGGGCACATTTGACTGTTGGAGCAAGTCCAGAGGAAAGACACAAAGATGATCAGAGGGCTGCAACACCTCTCCTACAAGGACAAGCTGAGAGAGCTGGGGTTGTTCAGCATGGAGAAGAGACAATTTCAGGGAGACCTTATTATAGCTTTCCAGTATCTAAATGGGGCCTACAAGAAAGCTGGGGAGGGACTTTTTACAAGGGCTTGTAGCAATGGGATGAAGGGTAACAGGTTCAGACTTGAAGGGGGTAGATATAGATGCAAGGAACAAGTTTCTCACTATGAGGGTGCTGAGACACTGGAGCAGGTTGCCCAGGGAAGCTGTGGGTGCTCCATCACTAGATGTGTTCAAGGCCAGGTTGGATGTGGCCTTGCACAACCTGGTGTAGTGGAAGGTGTCTTGGAACTAGATGACCTTGAACATTCCTTCCAACCCAAACCATTCTATGATCCTATGATTCAAATCAGCATTCTAAAAAAACAATGATTAGTGCAATGCACCCTGCAGAAGTGGCCCTACCTATAGTACAGCCACTCCTATGGCTGCCACCTAGGCTGAAGGCTCTTTCCATCACCACCTCCAGCAGTACCTGCAGGTGCAGTTTTCTGAGTGATGAGCAGTAATAACTCATGGAGAAATGCCATGAGTTATTACTCAGCCTCACAGCAGCAAGATTTTATGTCCAGTTTCTTGGGTAGCAACGTTTCAGTGTATGCTTTTAAAAGAACTTGGGTGTGCAAGTTTTGGTTTTCAGATTTATTCTGACCTAATCAAAATATGACTAAAAGCCCTGAATTTACGCTTGCATTCCTTCCATTTTTGTCTTCGTGCCTGCTAAAGGAATTTTAATTCCTTTTGTTTTGCCAGATCTAATGTTCAAATGTTCTGCACACATCACCTGCCCCACTTCTCAGTAACATTTTACATTCCTTCACTGGAAATAACAGCAACAAATCATAGCCCAAATAGGTAAAAAGAAAGCAGCTTTTGGGAGTGAAATCTATGTGGTTCATTACAATCTTCCTCGGTGTGAGAGGAATTATTCCTGCATTAAATAAAGCCATTAATGCTTTTTATGGCTTGCAGTACTGCTGGGAAGCTTCATATATGTAAGATGTTTTAAATCCCTGGATGAAAAGTACTTTGTTATTAATCCTGTTACAGGCAACTATGTTACTATTACCTGCAAGCATTTAAAGACTGTAGAAAGCAAAGAATTATCAGGGAAGAAGCCTTAGCAGGAGAGTTAACACAATTAGGATCTGTAGGAGATCAGGAAACAATTTTCACCTTGACAAGCAAGAACATTTCCCAGTAAGAGCAAAGATGTTCTATGAAGAATCTCCAGAAGCAGCCAGGGAAGCTCAACTGCTTGAGTCACTCAAACAAAGAACGATTAGGCAGTTGGGCATACAGCAAAGGAAGGAAATGATCCTGCACCAGAAGATGACTTAATATGCATTTAACCTCCATTGTCATTGTTCTGCATGGTTTCTGAGGTAAATAAATACATATGCCTTAAAATACACTCCCTTAGGATTAGATGTGGTTTTGAGAATACTACTTCTTATGGGTAATCATGTTTTTTAACAGGATTTAAAAAAAACAAAACAAAACAAAACAAAACACACCACAATACTCTCTTGTCTCTCCAATACCATTAGTGTTTGGGTTTGTTTGTGGTTTTTTTTGTTTTTTGGTTTTTTTTTCCCTAAAAACCCTAAAGACTGCTCAGGAGAAATGTAAGGAATCCACATGATATTTATTTCAATACCTTCCTAATTTAGTAATTTCTACACTAGCTGAGTAACATTTAGTTTGTACAAGATCAAAAATGCCTTTAGCTGTACTCTAATCACTGCATCATATCCTCCCGACAAACAGCACACACATCTCTCCAACTAAAATTTCAAAACTACAATCATCATTTCTGGGGGACAGGGGAAGAAATCAAGCTGCTTGCCTCAGCCAGGGATGACAAGTGTAGCATAAGCCTACCAACACCACCACACACTGATGCAATGTGGACGTGCTGCAACTGCTGGAGCCTGCTGACGTCCTGCTAGCTGCCAGCCCTGCCGTTTGATGTCACTGGCTTTCAGTCAGTGACAAAAGCAACTGATAACGTGGAAGATTTTAGTCACATCTGTCATTAGCACCATGCTCTCAGATGAACTGTTCACTACAGCAGGGTTTAAGTACTTGCATTACATCAATGCCCAACAGCTTATCTGCAATTGGCTCTGAGTTGCATGAACTCAATTTACACATGCCCGTACCATTCTCTGACCACCTGAACAGAAATTTATCACCAGCAAGCTGTTCACAGCTATGTCTGTGTACAAGAGCAGTATAGAAAAAGCTGCCACTGCTGTTGTAAATGTCATTCGATTATGGAATTACTGTCTGATTTTAGCATGAAGGGGCAACCCGACACTCCCCCTTTCCTTTCAAAGAACCTGTCAGACTACCTATGACCACAGCCTGCCTAACAGAGAGAGCCAGGGCCACAGCTTGCCCCATGTAAGGCCTCTCTGCATTGCCAGTGCAGGTGGAGCTGAGCCAGGATCTGCAGCAGCAGAGAGTTTTCCGTATGTTTTTCTGATGCTGACAGATGTGAGGAGACAAGAAGTGTTGCAATAAAGATGCTATGTGGGGAAGCAGCAGGGGCAACACCACGGCAGAAAAAAGACTGAGCTTTCCTGCTGCAGTTCCTATGGACACAACTGCAGCTTCTCTGCAGTGTATCTGCCCCAGCTCCTGTGTAACAGCCGGGTGTGCTTCAGTCTCCACCCTGGCCAGGCGGCTGCTCTCACTTCAAGTTCAGCTACCCAGAATTCCCCACTGAGAATTCCTGCAGACACATGCTTGTGACACTTTTATTGGGGAAATCCATGAGAAAGACTTTGAAGGTCCAGACCAAAGCAGCAATTCAGTCCAAATCTGCCTGGCTGCTACTCAGGGGCTGTGAGTGAAAAGGAGCTCGCACAGACGTCACTCTGTAGCTGGCAGATTCGCGGGTGAGCTGTTAGGTATGTTGTCCAGCTCCCATCAATCTTAGCTCGAGCTTCTGAGGATTCCCACAGTAGCTACTGAACGAGAGTAACATGGTAAGAACAAACCAGTGGTTTGCAGTGTCAGATATAAGAGTTAAGTCTTCTCACACACACTCAGAACAGGAGAGTGGCCGTGCTCCTCAGGAGAACGTCAGTGTGCACAGGTCTGTGGTGAGGCAGGGTGAGGGCCCAGTGAAGAAAGCCCTGCTGAGGTGGCACAGAGAGCCGCACTGCGCCCGGCCGGAGCTCCAGCTGGGCAAGTATCATTTACTGCAGCTGCTTAGAGAAGAGTCTGGAAAAGGGCAAGCATTCAGGGAGACCTCCCCCAGCCACAGCTAGCTGTGGGTCAGGGACTTTCTGCATCACAGCTGACAGCTTGTATTTAAGAAAATGTATGAGGACTTACAGGGCAAGAAGGGCAATCCTCCTTTTAAGACTAGTGTCACAGTCTGAAGAACATTAAACAGTTGTGCACATGAAAGTCTGGTAACTGAGGTTTTGATTTATGAACCAAAATTTCTTTTGATACAAACATCAGTTTATAAATAGGAGTATTCCGTTTGTCCAAATGTCTTTTAAATAACATGCTGCCATGCAAATAACTTGAATTTTCACAAACTCTCACAGCCATAACTAATTCAAACAGAAAAGCAAGGCATTAAAAACCTTTGGGGTTAGTCATGAAAAGCAAATATTGAAGGTTGAAAGCAGCATTAGCAAAATGAGAATATGCTTCATGCAGGCATTTATAATAGAGACTGCCATTAGCAAAAAACTTGGATAAACAAGGTTAGATTTCCGTGTGGATCTGTGATGGAGAAAACTGGAAGGCAAGATCTAAAATTAGTCATACCTCTCCTGCTGTCTTTTGTTTAATGAAGTACCTGAAGCAATTTCTCAGCTATAGATGAGAAATGTCATTTAACATAGTCTCTCTGAATTCCACACTTTCTCAAGTATCCAAGGAAAGCAATTTTTTTAAATTGCATTCAAAGCAAAGAAAAGTGAGGAAAACCAAAATAATGATGCAGGGTAGTTAAAAACAAACCAACCAACAGAGAAGAGCCTAGACCCACTTTCTCCACCACTCATTTGTTGGTAGATATTCTGTATGGTCAAAACCAAAAAACATAAATCTAGTCTGAGCTGACTGCATCTTATTCTTCTAAGGTTCCCTGCAGAGAAAAGTCCCAGTCTGCCTCTTTGGGAATTACAGAATGAAAGTCTTACTGCATCTATAGATGTAAAGTACCAGAAGAAGATATTAACAAATCTCAGGTGCATATCTATACAAAATTATGTAACTTCTTTTACTGTTGCTGAGGACAGGGCTTCTTTAAATCTGAAAGTTATGCAAAACCCTTAGCCAAGACATCAACAAAGGGACAGCAGCTGATGGAGCGAACTAAAGCTTTAACCTATTTCATCCAAGATGGAAACAGCTGCTCTGCAAACAAATGGTGCCCCACAAGAAAAGAACTCTACTGATCCCACAAGCTGCTCTACAGCCAGAAATCTGAGTCATCATTCACGTGTTTTATGCTGGCACCAAGCTGGGAAGGTATAGGTAGGCATAGCTGATATCTACGCAAGAATACAACGGCTACAGAAGCTATCAGAGTACCCTCTTCAGTGATCAGCATCGCTTATTAAAGGGCACCCATCTTTCAGACAGCGTTTCAAAAGGCAGGAAAAAACAAATACTCACTTCATAAACAGCTAAAACTACAGAGATCTGCATTACCTTCAAGAAGTGTGAAACATTTGTTTTTCTCTTATTATCAGTGTAGCCTCCGGCTGAAAGAGCTATTAAGAATTCTTGGTAGCAAGTGTGAAGTCATACTGGCTCATCCAAATTTTCTAAAGACAGTAGGACAGATGAACCAGTTTGCTGTGAACATTCTTAATCCACTATAAATCCTTATTAGATTTTTTTCTCCTTTGTCTTTCTATCCATCTATTCAACGTCAAGGCATATTTCTGTCTCAGCAAAAAGCCTGCGAGACAACCTGGATCAGATCCCTCTGCACTTCACATACAACAAAGAGGAACAAGGAAAATAGAGTTAATTATTTGCTCCCCTCACTTAGTGGGAAGGATAGTCTTCAGGGGACAAGAAGACTGGGCAGAGACTGAGAATTCAGAGAAGGAATTTGAGGGATTTGTCAGCTGTGTACAAGCCAGTGGGAAAAATACAGCCTTGCTGTATGGGCTGAAGTCACAAACACTTGTAGATCAACAATGGAAAAAGCGAACAGTATGGCTCTCTGAAAACACAAATTAAAAAGTCAGAGGATGATTTCTGGGGCCTCTCTTAGTGGGAATGCTGACAGAAGCTTACCAAACTGTGGAAACCTGAATTATCTCACAAGCCTTAATCAAAACAGTCTTTGAAAAGTGTTCCTGGAGGAAGGCAGCACACATAGGACAGCCTGCCAGCAGAGTGTAGTGCTCTGCTCTCTTGCATGGACAAAACTAAGACCTTACGCTGTAGCAGCTCCAGGTGAATCACGGCTGCAGATGGTGGCCACAGAAGTGGGAAAGGAGCAAAAATGGGAGGAAGCTACTGAGTTTTGCAAGTTGAAACATTTAGAAATAGACCAAACGTAGAGAACACTGCAGCGATTTCATATAAAATGAAGGGAACAAGGTTGAGTCTTGGATATGACCTCTCATCTGATATACAAACTAGTCAGCCATCCCCCCTGACAGTAAGCAGACTTCCACTGAAGTCAGAAATGTGAACCAGCAGACATGGTTTATCTGAGAATCTCCCTCCTTTGCTGTAACTGGAGAACTTTTATTATCAAAAAGTGAAGGAATTAGCCATGCCCATCCTTCCCTCTACAATCCAGCCACACAGTTTACACTTTCAAAATGCAGAGCAGCCTTCTCATTTCTTATTTCCATTAGCAGCTGCAAATTAATCCTAACCGCCACATTTCATCCTCTTGTGTGATTTAGGAACTTTCCTCAAACAATAGACTGCATCAAACAATTAGCTTCTTTGCTTTATCACAGCATTTGGACAACACAGACAGGGTTTTTGGGAGTGTTTTGGGTTGGGTTTTCTTTTGCTAAAATAACAGCTTATGTATATACTAACCAAACAAAGTAAAAGGAAAATCTGGACTAGCATATGTTAAATTTCTAAGCACAGCAGAACAAAGGACCATGTATTCAGAGTTCTCTGCAAATATAATATTCCTCAAACTACATTAAAAAAAAAGTGTAAAATGGATGTTTTCCAATAGTCTTACAAGGATTCCTTAATTTTCTGAGATTTCAGAAGAGTGAGCCTATGGCATTGCAAAGCCACAAATTACTTGGCGAAAGGCACGAGTGCCTACATTTTCTGTAAAACAGCCAAGGGAACCGTAAGGAATACAAATAACTTCCAGTTTACCAGCCCAAATCAAAATTTTTCACAACTTCAATATGAGCTTAATTCCTTGAAAACACAGACGGAACCTCTCTCACATCAGCTGCTGTTAGTATTTACTAGTAGTACTGCTACAGGGCTTTGCATCGCAGCACAGAGTGCTGAGGTGACTAACCTCCCCAGTCCTATGAACCTCACACCAAAGATCTTCTCAGACAAGCCACAAAAACTTGAGAATGCCAAGACAGAGCAACTCTAGGATCAGTTCACAGGCAGGACAGTGTCATGGCTCTGTTCTTACTGCTGTCCTCACTGTCCTCTACAAGCTGTGCACACAGCTGCCAGCCAAGTCCAACGCACACTGACAACATCAATCTCTGCTGGCTCCTACGCAGGGATTTGAAGCCTCCAAAAGAGCAGAGCCTTGATGTCACTAATGTACCTGACAGTGGCAACAGAAGTCCTGCATGTCCTTGAAGTCCTGCACTGGCTAAGAGCAGAGCTGGGAATAGTACTGAAGCCCTGCAAGCCCAAATCCTATTAGAGCACAAGGCCTCTCTTCAGCTGTAGAAGGGATCACTTTTGTCACAGGTCAAGTGCAGTTACACAGGCTGGCTTCTTTCCCCAAAATGTGTCAGAACACAGCTACATTTTCTTTTGTTAAATGGCAGTGATCTGATACACCATTTCCTCTCAGGGTTTATTTTAATGTTGGTATGTGAAAATACAGGGGGTTTTTTTTCCATTTCATCAAATTTCTCCATTCCCTAATTTTAATTCTACCATTCACAAATTTTATATTAATGGAATATTATGTAGTGTCAAAAATGTTGTGGGAAATGTGTATCTTCTCCCTCTAGCTATTTGCCCTTTTTGTTTACTTTGAAACTGACAAAGCTATACAAAATCAGGTTACAGATACAGATTTCTGATTTGTTATTTGCAACACCTATTAAGTCACAATTTACAATGTTCTTAGAGCAACTTACCGTTCAATAGCCACCAAAGCAAAGGAATAAAACCTGGACTTTCACTGATGTACTTCAAGCCTTTCATATTGATACTCACATTGTAAAGTGACATTAGCATTAGCCTAGAATTGAAAGAAAAAAAAAGATATGATGACCTTCGATTTCTTTGCATATGTTGGCATCTTTTGCTTTTTATGCCAAGCATGTACTGATGCAAAAGTCTATTCTAATAATTTTTATTTTTATAAACGAGATAAGTCTCAAATTATTTAGAAGTAATGTTGTGTAAAACCTCATCTCTGCTGCTCAATCATGTATTTTGAACACGTGGACAAACATCCCACATGAGAATAAGAAAGTCTCATCAAACCCCGTGAGATTCATTACATTTAAAAACCAGGACTTGGCTTTACGTGACCACACAACCTAGATGACAGAGCTCTCGTTGTGACAAACCCCACTGGGCGGGAGACCATCTCAAATAAGCTGCTTGTCCTGACAGATAAAAGGGCCACTAGGAAACACAGAAAGCAAGACTGTTCACTGAGTACTAGCCTACTAGTTCTGTATACAGTGTACTAGTTCTGCACACTGACCCTCCAAGTCAGCTGAAACACAGACACATCACGTGTACCATCCTCTTTCAGGCGCCTTCTTGTTCCTCCTACCAGCAGAACGATATATAGCCAGCACACAGCAAACAACAACGTAGTCCTCCTCTGCTGGCAAGTGCAGTTACTATGCCTGCAGAAGCACTTGCACGAATGGAGCAAGCCTGAAAGAAAGCATCCAGAAAAACACCCCCTCTGATATTAACTGACTAATGCTCAGGCTCTTTCAGAGTCAGATCACTGCTGTACTATGACCTGCAAGACAAGAGCTCCTGATGTTCCTGAAAAAAACTCTGAGCCATACTCTGGAGTCAGAAGTTGTCTTACAAATTCTTTCACCTTTCTAGCCATGTTCTCCCATCCTGCCTTTGATGCAGGTCACCTTTACAGCCGTGGAGTAGCTTGGGGGGGAGGACATTAGTGCACCTTATGATGTGCTATGATGGACGCTTGTAGTTTTTACTTTCTTTTCCAAGATGATAACATGTAAGCCAATCTTCTGGACCATGAAAAGGAAAGATGAATAAGCAGGAGTCCTACAACACTTATGGAACATGCCAACATACCCACTCACAGCCGGGTGCCAGGTTACATACAAAACAGAAAAACAGGAATGGGCTGCAGATGTTCTCCTCTGTTCTGAGGCCAGTTTGGCTGCTGCTGCCTCTCCTAACTGTGATAACCCTGTGTATCACTGCACTGCTACCGTTTCCAAACAAAAGGGAAATAACATTATTCCAAATGGACTTTACACCTCACATCCTAGTCTCATGGCTTATGCCACCAGCAGACTCTTGGACACTCTCTGTGCATGCCTTCAGAAAGCAGGAAAGAAAGTAGCCTGCTGCAGGCTAAACTGAGTTGTAAGAAGCATAGCTCATATTACGTGCTGCACCACTGTGAGCTTGATCACCCAGGCTCTTAAGCAGTAGGAAGAAGAAATAGTAGATTATTGAACCTACTGCATCAGTGGGCACTGACAAGCAGTGAGGGGTGCTATGGGACTGAAATTGCAGCTTGTAAAGCCCATGCACTTCTCCTCATACAGCCTCTGCAGCTCTTACTTGGCTTCCACAACCCAAGTCCTGACAAAGGAGCACAGCCATAATTACCAGTAATCAGTCAGAATGAAAACGACCAATAAAATACTAGCTTATAATAGAAAATGTTAACATTTCTTGGCAACGTCTTTCCTCCTTAATCTGCTTGACATTTGCAGCTAGAAATAGTGACGTAGAAATATATTGCTATGTTTGTGTTTTTATTGCACTTGTTTGCTCTGTGCAGACAGAGGGGACTGGTGGTGGTAAGTGCTGTGGTTTTGGAGTGTCAGAAGAAATAACCTACCTCACAAGCCAATGCAGTAGTGTAATATTTCTAACTAAACTCACTCACCTGACCACAATGTAGAAGCATTTCTAAGCCCTTTTCACCACCTTTATGTCTAGTACTTGCACTTTCTAGTAAGTATTTTTTTTCAGAAATTGTTGCAAAAGTGCGTATTGAAGCAAATCTGACACACAATGACTGGATAAACAATACTTTCTGGGTTTGGAGGTGTTTGGGGTTTTTTTTAACATGAAGGGCTTTTTAATTATGCACTTCATAGTCTTCCTATTTAGGCAAGCCAAATTTAATTAACATCATGTACAACTGTATTTATCAATGCTTTCTTTAAAACCTAGAACCAAAAGCACAGCTACAGCCCCTTCTCATTTGTTTAATACATAGGATTAGTGTATAAAATGTACTAAAATGTACTAAAGTACATACTTTTACTGGCTACTTTCAACTGCTACAGAAGTAACATTGAAAATTCCTATCAATTTAATTACAGCTATAAACTGTCTAAATGTTTATTGACTGCCTAACAGTTACACATGCTCAACAAACACTGAGAAGAAAATCTAAAGTCCTTCACACTGCTGCTATTTCTCATGGGGAAAGACACCCATGGATTTCAGTCCCAGAGATGCCTTAGATGTATTTATCATATACTCAGACTACAATGGATATTGTAACAGTGCTGGAATAAGTGACAGCTTTTCCCTGCAATGTTTTTTTTTTATATAGCAATACAGGTAAAACACAGGATTGCTAGAAGATGAAAGAGAACTCTTTTCCTCATCAGCTTACTTTGTTTGATACTGCTTTGTGTAGAATTAGACTCACAGTTTCTCCTGATCTGTCAACACAATAAAGAAAAATATTTTTTAAAATAAAAGCTAGTAAAGAATTGTAAAACCTCAAAACTGAGCAAAGGACAAACATATCCTTAGAAATGATAAGCCAAATTTTTTCTTTAACTGATTAAATTTTAAGTTGATGCTGTCCTTCCTTGTAATACCATAGAGATGTTTTGAGAAAAAACACACTGCATTTCCAGAATACCATACATTTTCATCTATGAGGTACATTTTAAAAATGTGTCTGTCTGTCTGTATATATATGTGTGTGTGTGTGTGTGTAGCTTATTTATGAGGACTCCAGAATCTATCTATACATAACCAAAATGTTACTGCAATTTACATTAACTGTCATACCCTTATCTCACAATTGTCTTTTTCATACTGCCTTATGTTCCTTATATTTAGGGAGAAAAGGAAGTTCTTTTGACATATCTCCTTAAGAAAATATTGATTATCTAAGATTAACAAGCAGCTAAAAACCTTGAATGCAGAGAGCAATTTAAAACCAAAACAGACAGCCAACTCCTAAAACCTTTCTTTGCTGGACTGGGAGAGTGTAAAATCCGCAGAAAGTACAGGAAAAAGACCCAATGTTAGAAATGCGGTTTAAGAACTGAACAGCAACAAGACATGTAGGGAGGTCATAGACAAAAAGGAACCTGATCACTGACATGAAAGACAAACACAAGGGAAATACTGTGCACTAGAACGTTTGAGCAAATTAGGATCCACCATTCCATGACAAGGCCACAAAGAAATCTCCATTCTAGGTTTTGCTCTTATGTCATAATACAGCTTTTTTTTTTACCAAATGGCAAGTTCAGAATAAGAAAAAAATTCCTTGGTCCTCTGAAACATCAGAAAATTTTATCACTGCACTGGATTAAAACTATTGAAATACATGCTTAACGTTTCCTACTTGCCAAACACCTTCTGCAACGTCCCTTTTTTAAGCTTCAGTCAATTTGTTGGCCTAAGAGGCTGGCCCCTGTTGAATCCCTAGCCACTTCATGGGATTGTGTTATGTATATTTTACCAATATTGCTATATGGCAGCCAAGTACATATCGCCATATGTAATTCTTCTGCAAAGTGGGCAGATTTTGAAACATAATTTAAAAAATATCCAAAAATCAATTGAAAAGAAAGGCTCTCAAATCCAATTACATTGTCCAATTACATTAATACATTATGAAATGTTCAGAACTAATTTATCTGGACCTAGAGACACATACTCACTCGAAATTCAGAGAATACGGTTGTGTGTGTATGTTTAGGAACACCTTCCTCTCCCTCCTACTCTCAAAATAAAGTCCTACCTTGGGTTTGTTTTTTTTTTTTTTTTCCTGTACAGATTTTGCAATAGTATAGCTCCTCTTCTCATGGTTTTTTTGGTTTTGGTTTTTTTTTTTTTGTTATAGACATGAATGCACAAATTACCTTTTCTTCCTTAAGTGGAGATTCTCATAGACACCTTTGAGTTGGGGTTTCAAAAAACAAACAAAAAAAAAATAAAAAAAAAAGCATTCATGGTTGCAAGAACTAACTACCCCATTTTGAGTGCTGACCTTCAAGCCCAACACCTGGGAAACACAGTAAATTGCTGCCATCAAAGTATCTAGCCACTACCTACAGCACAGGCTGTTCAGCTTCCCTTGTGCTACCCAATGGGGAAAGCCAAACACCTACAGAGGGCAACTGGAACATTGGCTGAGTGAGCAAACACCTGACAGCATCACCTCCTTCAACTGACTGTGGGAGAAAGCCCAGACAGATAGCAGATACGTGACATGTAGCTTTCTGATAGCTGAGGCTAGGCAAGACAAAACCCATCACAAGTTAAGACCAGGCCTGCTTTCACGCCTATCACATCCAACCTGCCTAAATGTGTGCGTGGACACAGTCAAGTTACTGTGGCTGACAGGGTTGCAGTTGGCAGCTGAGTTGTGACAGGTGACTTAGGTATGAATTCTTAGTGTCTGTGTGTATCCCGTTCATGAGAAAAAAATAAAACCACCACACTGGCTTAAGCCATTTTCATGAACAAATTAACCAGGTGCATGGGGCAAGTGCCCACAGCTCAGCGGACGTGCAAGTCCTCGTTAAGCCATGATAATTTGCTCAGTCAAAGCCATGTAAACTCAGCTTGAAACAGCCCCGAGAAAAAGGAAAAGACAATAGTTTATTTAATATCTCCACCAGTTGGAAAGTTCTCCAGCACCTGAACTGTGTAACATGGGCTCTTCATTACAATGCTGTACCACAAAGTCCTTTCATAGGCATTACCTTTTATAAGCATAAGTGCACGATGCTTCTGGCTACTAAAGAGAATAAAGGAATTTAATTTTTGCAGATACATAACTCACTTTCTTCACTAAGGAGATGTAGCATTTTGTGGCATTCATGTTCAAAGGGAATAAATACGAGTCCACACTTCCTACACCCTCTGTTTTAACCTCACCCCTTCCGTATCTGACCCTCAACTGACCCTGCTCCTCCTAAGGTGGAAGAAGGAGCACTCCTGCTCATCTCTACAGTGTTATGGTGCTTAAGAGACTTCCAAAGAGACACAAAACCTGGATGAAGCAAGCCTTGTAGCAAAGTCTGGTATATCTGCAAGGAAGGATACTGTGAAAAGAATTCCAAAAATTGTTTCCTCTCCAGGAAAGGAAATAATGGAAGAATGGGAAAAGTACCATCCTCATTGTGATCTACACTGCAAGGTAACACATTTCATTTGATAGGAATAAAAAGAGTCACATACACTTTAAATTTGGTACAGAGTCCTGGCTTCATGTCCCCCAGTAGGTGCATCATTGTGTCCAGTAATTCAGGACTTGAACTAACCAAGAACTCCCGGCCACATGCCAGCGCAGCCACATCTTTGAGAGAACACAAAACATCAGCATAAAAATCACATTTCAAACAAAAGTTTAGGACCATTAAAAAAAATTGTCAGCTGTGGAGAATGAACTATGGTATCTAGATAAACTATAGAACTATAGTCATCTACATAGCAAATACTGAAGCAGCAAATTATACTGGTCAAACTCCTTCATATTTCCAATTTGGTAACTGAAATATTTATTCAAGAGTGGCCAGTATCCTAACAGTAACAGAGTAAATTATGAAACAGAAGGTTGGATCCATCCACAAATACTGTGGGATTGAAGCAAAGCAGACTGTTATAGGTCCCACTTTAAAGAAATAAAATTGCAAATTGTTTTACAATCACTCAATCCAATATACCTGGCACATTACACAACCAAAACTCCCGTGGACATCTACTCAAAAGCTCTTTTCCTACCTCTTTGCAAACATTTTCTAGCCTTCTAGTATTTTACAACATAACTAGGAGGACTAAACTGGCACCTTCTTCATTGTTCATCTAACTGTATCCTTTACCATGTTTGAGTTTCAGGAAACTCCTTTCCCAGATTTCAGAGACAGAGAGACAAATCCTGCTGGTATCAAATTCACTGGCAAAAATTTTATCCGCTTCAGTGAAGTAAGATTTTGTTGCACCATCTTGAGGCCTTCTCAGGCAGAACCCCAACATTGCCAACCCCCAACCTTTAGACATTTTTTTTGTTCAGGGTTTACTTTTGCTAGGCCTTTTTTTCTTTTTTTTCTTTTTTTTTTTTTTTCTCTCAGTGAAGCAATTAGAGGGAACTGGATTCTGCCTTGTTACAGAGGCATAATGCATCACATTGCTTTTTGTTAGAACCTTAAATGGCACAACAACACCTAAAACCACACAGTCAAAAAAGCTGTTAATGCAAGATTCACTTATTTGTACAAATAGCACTATTTCATCTATCTTGCATCATGTCACTAGTGTCATTTTGACAGTGGTACAGTTTCAGAAAAATGCAGATGACATATCAGCCCCATTTCTGAGAGCCTTCCAAACCAAGGGCAGCCATGGTAAGATGGTTGTCTACTTATTTTCTGACCCTAAATAGAAACGTTCAGTATGGAAATCACACTTCTCCTAGCCCTATGGACTCAGGACAGTAAAAGCGCAGTCCACTTGACAGCAAAAAAAATTCTTAAGCAGCTTCAAAATGCTAAGCACATACCTTAAGATGGGGATGATCTACTCAGATCATCTGCAATTCATACATCTTGAAGATGTTAGCATTATTGACAGTTCAGGGAGTAAACTGCTTGATGTTTACAAACTGAGTGTACAAAACAGAAAATGGCTCTTATCCATCTAATTCTTAACCGTGTCACAGACAGTGCAACGCCTCACAGAAGTGTCAATGACAAAGCATGCTAGAACTTTAAAAGACTAGGAATTCACCCAAGATATCAACACTGACTAAATACTTGACTTTGAAAAGCTGTATTTACTGCAGCACATATTAGACAATATAGAATTTCTCAACACATGTGGAATTCTGTGCTGAGAGATGATATCAACTTACTTGTTACAATCCCTGCCAAAGCTAATACAAACTGATTTTCATCAGAATCCAAATCCTGCTGTTTCATGTCTTCACTTAACGACTTCACAAAGCTCTCCATGGTCTGTGCACTGATTATGAAAAACTTAAGTGCTTTACTCTGCAAGTGTGAAGGATAAAAAAAAAAAAGATTATACACACTGCAGCAACTACGATTATTAAATGCTACAGTAAAACTGGACAATCCTCAAAATTATTAAAACATCCAGTTACTTCAAAAATAATCAGAATATAGCAGGTACACGCTAAGTGACATGTTTGACCAATAATATTTGAAACCATTACCTCAGAAAAAAAAATGAAAAATACTCAATGCTACATTTCTTTATAAAACGAAACCATTGCGTATTTACTTCCTAAACTCACAGTAATATATATCAAGCAGCAGAATTAAAGCTTATTTTCAAAAGTGATGATATTATCTCTTTGCTTTGCAATAGTTGCATCAAGTGTTTCACATTTACTTGGGCTACTACAGCAGCTTTTGTCAAAACTCTATCCAGCTGAAGACTGGAGAGCAGCCTGATGTAATGACTTGACATGGCTTTTCTAAGAAAACAACCCAGAAGAAAAAAAGCAGATTTCAGTTCTATCCTAATAGGATTCATTAATTGCACAGTACAGGCTGGAGTACGATAGGCTAGGTAGAAGTTCTTTAGAAAAGGAAAGAGATCTCTCCTTGGTCACAGGTTGAACTTAAGTCAACAAAGTCCTGTGAGAATGATGATGATCACACTGGAGTGTACAAACAGAAGTACAGCCCATAATGACATGATGCAGTCTTCTCCCCTCAGCAGCAACACTGCTCCATTTTTGGGTGTCTTGCTTGTGAAAGCACCTGGTACGAAGCTCAGGGCAAGTCAAAGAACCGGTCAGAGGTGCAGAGAGAGGCCACAAAGAAGGACAGAGAGAACAGTTTCTGTTGATTGATGATTCAGACCCATAAAACACTGCTTGAACACCGTTTCACACAGAGGATGCTGGTGCTTGTAACCAAGATAGCACAGCAGAGCTCACAATGCCAGGTCTCAAAGGGTCCTTAAAGATTCTGCCAGTTGTTTCATGAAGCAGCTAAAACTTTTCCCCAGCAACAACCCAACAGGACAAAGTGACTGAAAATCCTAATACTTTGTCAAAACTACTCCTTTCACAGTATTTGCAAAGATACTGATAACATTTATTTATTCCTCCATTGCTGCACATTTGCCACATCAAAGCTGTAGAGTTCCCGTGGGGCAGCTCCAGCAATGAGAATAAAAACCATGGCCAGCCAATGCTCAGTATCTTCACAAATGCTACTGTGGCTCCAGAATATCAGGAATGAAGGGATCATAGGTAAAGAGAATGGAAAAAAGTGCACTTCTACACCTGCTGGATCTACTTTTTTTACTTACATGGATGCTGCACCTCAAAGATGGCAATGTTAACACAGTCACTGTAATTGAAGAAGCAGAGGGCACAAGATAAAACGGGGAACATGGAGAGAGTCTACTACAGCAGGCTAGTAGAAGCTATTATGAAAATATGTTTTCACATGGGAACAAAATAGAGTACTGAGCAAACCAAGTAGCTGGTATGTTGCACAAAACCCAAGCCTAATCTTCCACTCGTCAGTCTCTTGATGTGCCACTGGTGTTCTTTTTGCTGAACCTTCTTTCCAAATAGCCATTAACTAGTGGTGAGGTCTGAGGAGCTGCAGCAGAGGCCAGCTGGATTTATAAACAGCAAACATTGCATACTTTGCACAGTCTTGTATTAGTTTGACAGTATTTCCATGAGACTGAAGAATGCCTCACCCACAGTTCTGACTTTCCTAACCCACATGGACACAAATAGTATACTAGTCCCAAACATCATTTCACACAATCCATATTGTAGAACTGTATGAAAGATCCGTATCTTGATCTGTGTAGAGAGCGAAAAAAGCTCAAGCATTGCTCCCTCAGGCATGACATGATTTTGAATTGATGCTGTCCTCCTCACCTGCTTAAATGAGCAACAGTTTCAAAGCACTCTTAACATTCTTACACATTTCTGCAGCTGACAGCACCTTCTCAGTGGAGAGGATGAGATGCTACAAGCTGTACAACTTGTTCAGAAATAACCAAAACCAAAAACTTTGTATGACCAATCTCCATCGTCTTTTATTGACCTGACTCATTGCCAGCTGTTATCTGTGGTTGATGCAATGACATACAATCCGTTTATATTCTTCCTAGTGGTCTTGTTGGAAACCCAAGCACGTTTCTTACTGGGTTACATGCACCATCACCAGAAAATGATGCCCCAAAATGTTGCTATAACCTCCACCAGAAGGATCACGGTTCATTGGGCTCTGATGACAGCTGCGAGTTACTACAGTAGAAGAATTTTTCATTTCAAACCAACCTAGAAACAGAAGTATTGCACCTTCACAGTTGGGCTTTTTACTCTTATACAAATCATCAGATAATAGTTTTGCTTTTACTTAATTCTACTTAATTTTGATACTAAAGACTCCTTTCAACAATGCTTCTACTAATTCTACTCTCATCTTGTAGAAAACTGGTCATTTTCATCACTGCTAGTGTTTTGTTTGTGGGAAACATACCAATTCAATACTGTTTCACAAGTCAAATAACAAGGGCTAGTCACTAAATACTGTCAACTCTTACAGTCATAAACTGTTTTGGAAAATACAGAATGTAACTTTATACTGTTTTTGTTATGTGGGGGCTCTACAGTATTCACCTGCCCTTTTTTTAATGTTAGGTGCTTTATACAGTGCTTTCACACACTTTTTTCCCTTAGTAATTGCTGCTGTTTGGAACTTGAATCATCAAAAGATATCACTGTACAGCTTCCTAATATCCAGTATAAAGTTATAGTTGTACTTTGGTGCATCCAAACTGGAAAACTTCTAACTATAATGAAGTAATCCTACTCACACTATAATGAAGTAATGCTACTCACTCAGCTGTTCAACATGTTGCTGAAAATTCAAGCCAGAAGAAACTGTGGCATCAGTTCCCTTGGATTAAATATAACAATTCTTTCTCATGTTGGCTGTGACAAGACTGAAAATAATGTTTTTATCAGGCTTGTTCCTCTGATCCCTCCTAATTCCATCAGCTGCAATTGGGAGTAGAACTGTTATGTGTAATATTACTGTTGTCTTTAACTGCAGGTTTGGGGTATTTTTTGTTGGCAGGGGTGGGGGGATATTGTTAGTTTTATGGTTTTGTTGTTGTTGTTGGGGGGTTTGTTTGTTTGTTTGTTTGCTTTTGGTTTGTTTTTTTTTTTCAAGTAAGCTACCTGCCCATATTGAGCACCAAATATTTAATAATATTCACTACAGTCAAAGCAGCTAGGCTCACTAATTTTTCAAGACTGATGCAAATATTAAGGCAGCACAAAGATTTAAAGGAGTTGAGAAGTGATGGATCTGTCTTCCTCCCCCAGAAATATCCCCTCCAAGCTCTCTGCAGGTATGGAAACTGCTGCATGTGCCAAGAATTATTTTCTTTTGTTAGCTTGCAAAGATATTTACACTGTGCTAGCTGTATCCTTGCTTCCAGCTTAACTGTGTGTGGTGGAAAACAGGTAATCCTTGTTTGGTAACATAAAAATTAATTACTGCAGTTATTTATTCTCAGCCTGCTTCATAACATTTTACAGTTCTCACACTTCTTAAATGAGAATGGATGGCTCTCAAAGAATATACAACCCAGAAAACATTTTTTTGCTGCCTGATTAGTTTCTGAAATATATCCTTATACTGAAGTATGTTACAGATCAAGGTCCTTATTTTAAAAACCTAGCAGCATTACCACTGGTAAGTATTCACCTGCCATACTTACTCCTCCTAGAATGGATTTAACAGCTTCCTCATTGCTAGATACACCCCACAACAACGTGCACACTGCTGCACCCATCTCTGTGCAGTACTCTGCTTGCTGCAGGAGCTGCTGCTTGGCCTCGTTCAGCTGCTGGCGGAGGTTTAGTTTCTCCTGAAACGGTGTAAAGAAATCTTGGTTGCACTTCATGTCAGCCAAATAATGTTTCTAGGCTAAGGGACAGAATGAGAAACAGCATCATGGCCACGTATGAAACGGGGGGGGGGGGGGGGGGTGGCAAACTCACAGCAGTTGTGGACACATCCCTTCTCTCCTGAGGTATATCTAAGCTATTGTGGAGGCTGACAGTAACCAGAAGCCTGTCCACAAGGTCAGGCCAAGTGACTCACTGAGACTGAGTGGCACCTAGTGAAGAAGTCTGATAGGAAACTTTACTCCTAAGGAAATAGCTACACGTCTCTTTGAGAGAGAAGCTGTTCCAGACACCTTACAAAAGATACTGGAAGCATCTTTTAGGAAGAGAGGGTTGTTTTGTTTTCCAGAACAGACATCTTCCTTAGCCAACATGGTGGAGTTGCTGGATATCTAAGATAAATACTGTTGTCTCTTCAAACTTTTTTTCTGTTAGCATATTTCTGATCAGCAGTGGCAAAGAAAGACAGAGTTCCTAGAAAAACATACCTAACATTTGAAGTTTGGAGGGCCTTTCATACTAAGAAAGCTCAGGCACCATCATGCATCCACCACCTAAGTGAGCTGCCCAGTGGTCCCTGCCACCAAGCACAAAGATAGAACAGAGCAATCCAACACGACCAGGACACGATTTCAGTTTGGCAGTACTTTTTTCAAATCTCGTGGGAAGCTGACCAGAAGAATACCATGAAACTAGGCATGATTCTAGGTCTCACTGGCTTTCTACCAACCGCCACAGAGGCAGTGAAGCCACTGCACTTCTCAGCTTAGAGCTAGTGCAGACAGTGAGGTGAAGGCCAGGGTACCACAGTCTGTGGTCTCTCAGTGTGGGTGGGGGCTCCCTGCTGACTCTGAGCGGGGTCATATTAGAGTGCTGCAGGGTAAGATAAAGGCCAATCAAGAAAAAACAATGCTAACTTAAGTACTAAATGAGAGAATCACAGACCACACAATGTCAAAAGAACAGAACGATCTTGCTCTGCCTATTTTGTGGGCACTCATTTTATAAGCACCCTCAAACCCCAGCCTCCCTTGTGTGTTTAGCTATCAGGATGAACTCTGGGGAAGTGAGGAGGAATCTTTTCTATGTCAATTCTGGAAGCAAGTAAACAGAACAAAACTCTCAACCACATATTCCCATCAAGACTTTAAAATTAGCATCTTGTCAATGTATGGGTTCACCTCAATGTTTTGTGTGGACAGTTTGGAAAGAACAGAAATGTAAACTCATCTGAAAATTTACATAATATGACATCAACCAACACAAAGCTTCTTGTACTGTGTTTGTCATGAATTACCTACCCAGCCTCCTGCACCACACCTGACAGCCTCATTTGCATTGCTTCAACACGCTGCTAATGGAAAACACAGGCTAGGATTTGTAAAGTTCAAATTAAATTTATCACGCAGGTTTCTGTGAAAATTTACTCTCTGAAGCCTCCTTCACCTTATAGTTTATTAAACGCACAAGACTGACGCTGCCGATTCCCTAGGCAGAGAAGTTCCAGGAAAAGTCTCTTATTTCTTAATACTTTGATAATTCTTAAGCACGTTAGCCAAATTTTCTTTTATATAACTTACTGCCAGACCTATCAGCTTTTCCGCCACCATGTGCATCAGGCATCTTCCTGCCTAACCCCTATATTGTTCCTTTCTTTCTTTTCTGCATTGTCTTTGTCTTAGGAAAACATATCTTTTAATACAGCACAAGAAATGCCAGAATTTTTAATAGATCAAAAGCAACATCAGAACAAAGGTATGAAGCAAGGAAAACAAAACAGAACAGTACATTCAAGAGTCAGGAAAACAAACGGAGCCTGCAAAAGCAAATAACCTAGCTGGAAGCAGCACTCCTGAGAGCTCATATCACAAAGCCACGGCTGTGCTATGCAACACCACCATCTTCAGGAAGGGGTCAAGGCACAAGAACACAGCAGCGCTTACGTACATAAATATGAAAAGACAGACAAAGATGACATTAGCCAAGAATAACATGTGCACTCCAAGTTTTGCTCAGGTTCAGAAGGCATGGTAATTCCCTAATCAGTGGGAGCACTGCACAGCAATCATGGAATGCAATATATTGATTTACAATCCCCTAAAAGGGCACTTCTCAACCTGAAAATGCATTTATTTTATGTTTGTTTCAGTGAATCATTTCCTTTTCCTTCAGAAGACAAACACATAGAAACTATACAAGGATGCCTACAGCAGAACACCAGCCATGTGAAAAACACCATGCAAAGTTATTAACAGGGACAAAACCCACATGTATACATACACCATCTTCTTTTATCCTGAAGAGCTAAAGGATTCCACAATGAACATAAGCACAATCCACTCAGACAAATATACCTTTGTGGCATGCAACAGAAGCCATTTAGACTATCAGAGGGTACTGCACAACAGCAAAGATATGAAGAGAAGAGCTTTGATCAGGAACACCAAGACAACTACTCTTGGTAAACTGTCCAACCTTTAACTAAAGCTTTCATCCAAAATAATTCATAAACTTAAACCACCCGCCATGAATAAAGGGTGGGATCCACTTCATTAATATCTAAAGCAGCAACATAAAATCTTACAGAGACTAAAGATCTGTGTGCTCTGCAAAACTGAGTACCTACTGCTGAACTGCAACAGCTATCCCAGAAGTTACTTATTTCAAAGTTAGGAATATCCAGATAGACAATTATTCCATCATACTTTACATTCATACCAAACTTCATTCCTGAATGACTTGTCCAAGAGATGTGCACTAAAACTGCATGTCTGAATTCTTCATTTTTTCCTTTTCAAAAAGGAAATAATTTCTATAGATTTATCTGTCTTTGTGCAATCCCAAGGCTGGCAGATGCTGACTCTAGAACTCAAAGTGAGCTTCTGCTGATCACTGAAGGTAGCTATCAGCTCCAAGGAAATGAACTTCTGCAGCAAATAACCACAACTGGTTCTCATCTCTCTCTTAAAAATTTAAGCTGCTTGTCTGTGTGATCCTGTTTGAACCCCAACAGCTTCACAGAAGACCCGTAGTCTGAGAAGTCACAGTCTTTGCTATTCTTTCATTGTTAAGAATCTCCCCTCTCATAATCACTAAATACAATATTGACAGAGCAAAAGGAGCCCTGTAATTGTTCTTTGACTCATAGCTGTACAGAGCAACTGGATCAATAGGTGCATTGAAAAAGACTATTAAAACCAAACAAAGGTACACAGCTTACAGCACCCAAAAGAGAAGCCTGTTTCTTTTTGCATGTACCTAAGTGGGAGACCAACCGTCAGCTGGTACCTCTATTTGTATACACTGAATACTTTTCAGTACTGCATCGTATTGTATTTTTTTTTCTAGTTATAATATTAACCCTTTTGCTCTAGAAGTATCAAGGGGAAAAAAAACATCAGTAATGAACTTACAGGTGAGCAACTTATTCCCCACCTGACCATGTGAACAGAAATCCCAGATTATTTTTCAGGTGTGACATGAATGTGAAAAACTGATCATTACAGCTTTTGTTATTAAAACTCAATCATATAAATACCAATACTCTGACAACAAATCTACCTTCTTCTCTCTCATGCAATCTGCCTGGGCTGTTTCCAGACGGGCTCTGAAGTGTTCACAGTCCATTTTCAGCTGCTCTATTTCCTCCTCCTTTTTCTCCATGTCTGTGACAGGATAAATCAGATAAACAAAGTAGGAAGTTATGACCAACAGACTTGCACCAAGAAAAAAGTATCCACTAAGTGCAACATTACTGATGTCCTTTAACCATCTGCTGGGTGTAGATCACCTCCTCGTGGCTAAACTGATGTATCACAATTTGCAACACTTCAACAGATCTTAAAAGAAACCATACAAACATGGTGTTTCTGATTTGAACCAGGGAAAAACTGGAAGAATCACATCTAGCTGTTAAATATTGTGTGCCAAGAAGATACCATTCTGGAACTGAGCTCCAGGCTCCTCAGGGATTTAAAAAATAATTACTCAATTTTCTACTGTTTTCATGATGGTTTTAATGTCTGGTATCTTTGAAACTCAGTGCATAGAAACTCAGAAATAGATTGCAATTCAGATGCCTTATTTTAGTGATTAGAAATCAAGTCAGAAGTATTATATTTCACAATCATACGGTTTGTCAATTTTTAACAGTTGTTGCATACTGTATTTTACTTTAAAAACCAAGGGTCTGGATGCTTAGTGTTTATACTGAGATATGTTTGCTTTCTTCAGTAATTCCAAAAAGTAATATGTCCAAACAGCATCTAATATAATTTTGGTTAGCTCAGGGAAAAAAAAAAAAGTTATACCCCACTTTGAGCACCATACTCTTGATCATGAGAGCATGGTCTATGGCTTAACACAATTCAAATACTTCCTGTTACATGGGGTTAATATTTTTAGATATATTTACAAAAGAGTATAAAAATTCAATCATAAAAAGATATAATTAAAAGAAAGAGTCCTTACTACTCAAGGAGCTTGGATTCCGGAATTTTACTTAGTAATTCTACACTATTTGGAAATACATTTCTCTCTTTTTCGGTCCTAACTGACAAAGTGTTGTCATCTCAAATACATAAGTATTGCTTCGAGCAGCAAGTATAGATGCAAGTAATCTAGCCACAAATAGCTTTTCTAAAGAGATGGAATATTATTTCCATTCAGCCATTTTGCTATTTTAAGCGCCATCACTGACTTTTTAACAGAAACCAGAGGCAAGGCAAGGGTCCACACCTAGAAAACATGCATGTGCCAGGGCACACTCTCTGAGCATTCAATTCTTTTCAACCTGCAATCCAAGGGGAAAAAAAAAATTAAGGGGAGAATGGATTAATTGAGTTTTTGAGGAATAACTCCAGTCAGTTGCAGGAAACTTCTCTCCTTCCATCAAGTAGAGAAAATTCAGTCCCATGCACCCTGTGTGGGTGTGAGTCTAAAGTACTTGACAGGATGATGTCTTGAGCATGAGTAGAGCATGCTCTGCTCATTAATAGCAAACCAAGAACCTGTGTGTCCTTGCCAGATAAGTTAATTCAGTGAAAATCTCTTTCACTGCAAGAAAACAAACTCTCCTAAATGAGAAGAATCACTTCCAGCCTTTGAAAAGAAGGATCTGCCCTGAATCCAGCATCAGCACAGCCAGCAGACACATAAAGATCCCACATCCTTCCCTGGCAGTCTTCATAGGTCCTGGAATCAAAACTGAGCCAGGGAAAGGGGAATAATATTACCTTCTTAGCATCAATACAATGCTACCTGTACTTTTTTAAGTCCTCCAGATAAAAGAAGGATGTGTCAACCTCCTCTAAGTTATCACCATGTTTTATGTCAAGGGGGAAAAAAAAAAGGGGGGGGTAATATTGGAAGCTGCTGAAAAGAGACCTACCCATGCCTCATTTGTGGAAGCTCCCCCTATTATGCTCAGACCTCTCCCCCAGCTTTGCACACATTTGCTTTGAAGAGAACTCAAGGTTGCATGCACCAGTCCCAACATCTAATGACCTCCTGAGACACAGCACCAGAACAAGCAGCAGGCATTTTGTTGACTTCAAAGACTGCAGCTGTGCTGCTCACTCCTGCATGGTGTGGTCCTAAGAGCAAACAGGGAAGCCCAACAGGTTCTCCCACTTCTGTTAGCCCCAGTTCCTTCCCTCTTGACACTAAAATCTTGAGGCTCAGACTGTCTACCTCCACCAAGCGAAGAAGTGGCTCTCATTACCAACTGAGATAAGAAAAAAGCCATGAAATGGCATCCTTATACAAACAGAAAATACGTAACTTTACCACTGCAGTGGTAAATCACTCTGGGAGCAAGTGGTATTTACTCCCAAGATAGACAGCAGGTTCAAAAGCAGAACAAGGTGTTGGGCACAATGAAAGAAGAGGAGGACCACATTTCAGGTGTGACATGGACTCATTCTCATCCATGCAATAGGTCACATCAGGAGATTTTCTGGACCAGAGATCTAATCTCAGAGCTGTGGAAGGTGGACAACTGAGTACAACTACAATGAATGCCAACAAGTGATGGATGTCCAATTCTACTGATCCAAATGCTAGATCGATGTTAAATGCAATCTTTAACACTTCCCCCACAGACCAACTTCCACTAAACATACACATAATAATACAAGAATAACGCCAACAAATTTTCTGTAAGATTTCTGGAGCCAAACGCTCTT